GTCATTGTTAGTGATAGCAAAAAGAAATGTTTATCTGAAAAAGGTTCTGTAATTAATTCATTCAATAAACTAATCTATCTCATCTAAAAAAATCATGTATTACACATGCTATAAGTACAATTGAAAGTAATTAGAACATTTAGTAAATTTTATCTCAAATTTATGCTAAGTAGTCACATGGACGAGGAATATATCAAAATGCCTTGTAACATATCACCTTGATTAAATATAACTGCAATAAAAACTTGATTACCATCTCTGGCCATATCAGTTACCTTATATAAATTAACTGCTTCATCCCACTGAAATAATGAGAAAAGTTTGAACACAACCATCTTAAAAAAAAGATGCAAAACAAGATTGCAGGAAAAGTTAACAAAATTGGTTCTGTATGCATCAAGCAATTGGTGTGTATGGACTTTTGACATTCAATTTGTATAAGGGATCCTTCTCTCACTTCCTGTCTTATGTATCATAGCAAGCTCTCAAGTGTATAAGGTATTTTTGATAGATTGAAATTCTGAAATGTATTATTCAATTTTATTTATTGCATCTTCATTAACAATATTTTTTTTAAGAAGTGGTTTTGTCAGAAACATTGTTAATTCAGAAAATAATCTCAATACACTTTACGATCAATAGTTTACAAACTTAGAAGCTTTTCAATTGATCAACCTGTAGATAGAACTTGAATTTTTCTTTAGATTAAGACCTATTTTAAGAAACAAATACATTAAAAGCAATTTTTACTCTATAGATTTGCCATTGATTTGTGATATTTGATAGCAAATTTTGCAAAATAGTCACTTACTTAGCATAGAATTGATGACTAATAAAGATGTAGCATACTTAATTAAATGTTTTTATTTATATATTTTGTTGTAACCTAGAAAAAGGTTACTGAATAAGAATAACCAAAACGAAGGTTGAAAATGGAATGATAATATTTATAACAGAAACAACAGACAAAATTTTCCAGCAGCATGTAGTAAGTAATCAACTGCTAGAAATGAATTTCAAGTGAATCCCACAGTGAATCAACATACAAAATACCCATTATAGTCCACAGGTATGGTATAACGTGGCCAACTGGTTAGAACATTCTCTTTCTGACCATGAGACCCATGTTCGAATCTCACCATGCCCGATTTGTCAGGAAGGTGACTTCTTGAAGTTATTGGCCTGAAGGGGGCGATCATAATGTGTTGCACATGTTGAAAGGTCTTGAAAACCATATCATGGGTTGACTGAAGCCTTGTGAGTGATTTTGGGTAGACAGTATCCTTGGGGGCAGTCAAGAGCTGCGCTAGCACAAAGTCATCATGATGGAGGGTTTGAGCATGCTAGATAACAAGCTCTTTCCCCAGAAACTGTAACTATAGTATAATTGCAGTATAAAACACAGGTGGGCTCTTCGGGCATTGAACAAACCCAAATGTGCCTGAGCAAGCGTCTGCAATAGGGATTGGTTAGCTGCCCTAGTAGACAGGTATCCTTGAATACAAGTGACCATATAATTTCAGATATAACAACAATATATCTGTAAAAGGACAATATGAATAAAGACAAAAGAAAAACTTAGCCAACATGTTTCATCTTCATGGACTTTATCAAGGCAAATAGGAGAATTTTATTTTTCAACAAGTATAAATGATAATTTTCCAAATTTTTTAAATTTAAGAGACACTCATAAATATTCATCAGATTAACTGAAAAGTCTAGGTAAATTATGGAGGATGCTTGCAGAAATTAAAAAACAAAAACATATCTATGAAGACAAAAAAGGATTTTATATGCAACAATTTATCAAATGCATTAGCTATACATAGAAATAAATTCAACCACAACTAAGAATGCCACATGTATTAAGAGAAAGTAACTTAGATATAAAATTATCAAGAGTGCTGCTATTGAATCTTATCAAAATATAAATCTTCACTTTGGATTTTTTCAAATATCTTCATTCCTGAAAGAATTACTACTATCCCAAGCCAATATATACAAATATAAAAATATTAAAAAATTAAAAGAATACAGTTAAATTCATAACTTCCTGTTATTAAAAAAAACCCAAAAAAAACACAAATTTATTTCATATTAAAATAATGTAAAATATCAATTGCAATAAAAATTCAACAATATCATTTACTCACTTTCATTTATTAGACATTGTCACTTTGCATCCTTCATAATTTAAGTTTTCAGTTAACCTGATGAGTATTTATGAGTAACTCTTAAATTTAAAAACTTTGAAAAACTAAAGTTTTACTTTTGTTTATAAATACTTGCAAAATAAAACCCTCATGTTTGCCTTAATAAAATGCATGAAAGAATGTAATGCAGTGGCCAATTAAGTTTTTTTTTTCGTCTTTATTCATATATAGATACTTGACAGGATACTCATCATGATCAATGATAAATATACTACTAATACATGCCTTAGGTAGCTAACCAGATTCCTTTGACTTTATAACAAGGTCATTTTCCTCAAACATCAGTCTCAACACTTTAAGACATTCAGCTTCTTTCTATTAGAGATTACACTTAATTATCAAAATTGTTTAAAATGAAGTATTCCTTATCATTTATATATGTTGCATACAAATTAAACTGAAATTACAAAATCTGCATTTAAATTATTGTTTCTCTATAGAATATTCATATTAGAGAATAATAGTGGATCTAAATACAGATTTTCAGGTGCCACTGAGTATTATGGGTTAACAAGTATTTCACTACTGCTAATTGGAATATAATTTCTATTTAAATAAAACATTTACTTGCATATCTGCAATTTATTAAAGTGGACAATGACCAAAGTGATTTAGTAACTGTTTCTGGATAACACTTGATCCTTTCTGGAATTATGAACTTAACCTTTAGTTGCTGCTTTGTTTTCATGACTATAGTGTCTAGTTTTCAATATGGACTCTTGGTTTAGACCAATAATACAGCAATAATACAGGGTTGAGAAGTTGTTTTAAAATGCCTTATCAGTTAGTAATAACTATATGAAAGAAAAATTGTGTTAAGCTTTTCTAAAAGTGACTAGTTTAATTTAATTAATGTCCGATGCAAGTTAGCAATTCACACACCAATAAAGGCTGATGCAAACAAATGGATGCAACACAGCGTCACATTGAAAAAAAAAAAAAAAAACAATAAAAAGAAAAAAAGAGGAAAATATACATAATGTCTATTAAAAACAATTTTGTAAATTCTTGTTATTGTGAATTTTTTTGATTAAATGATATGAAGTATGTAAAATGAATTATATCATGACAAGCTTATTGTTTCATTGTATGAACAGCTGTGTATTTATTTGTAACTCCAAAACAAGAATAGAAGTGCATAGACCAAAACAATAAAATTCTTTTTTTCTCTCTCCACAGAATTCTTTATATATATATATATATATATATAGCAAATCATCTTTTGTGAATCTTAGAATGAAAAGGAAAAAGTGTGTAAAAAGAAAAAGAAAAAAAAAAAAAGTAACAAAAAAATTTTCTGTTTACATTTTTCTTTTTAAATCAAATATTCAAAAGATTTCACATTGGTCCCCGTCATAATAGATTTTGCAAATACTTGGAATTGGTAATATAATGCAATCATTCCTTTCTTTAAATGGTCAACAGTATTAATAAATTTTTAACCTTGCTGGGGAATAAAAGAAAGTACAATAGAAATTCTTTCTAGACCCTTGGTGGCAATCACTTTATAAATATTTAACTGTCCTCATTAAAGAGGTAGATGAAATCCAAGAACCATACTATGAATAACATACAGAAAAGTTGTTATAAAATGTTTCCCTTTTTAATAATTGCTTGCTATGAAATCAAAGATTATAATTATGCTTCAATAGTTTCTTAAATGAGCTCCTAAAATGTTAAAAAAAAAATAATAATCCTATTCTTTTCACTGTTCAAAGATCAACTATAGTCTAAAGTTAAAATATTGGTGCAAAGCAGCTTTTCCTCTAAAAATGAATATTTCCAAAATCTAACTTCTCATTATTCAATAAAAATACAGACTGATATTTTTTTTAATATATTTGTCAGCATATTAATAAAAATAAAGAAACCTTAATAATTTGGTGCTGGAGTGGGATTGAAAAAAGATGTTTAACTTCATATAGTCTGTGGCATGTATCTTTACACACAATCACTAAGGTGACTTCTTCCTGTCAGTTAGCTATCCTAACCCTAATCATTGGTGATTTTAAGTACCGCTCAACAGTAAAGCTGTAAAATATAAGCCAATGTTTATCACTGAAGCTTAAATAATGGTAATTAGTAACAGCTGCTTACTAACACCCATAGGTAAAAATCTTAATGTATCCTATGTCTGTAAATTGTTATTGCAATGAGAGAAAGAACGTTCAAAACACATTCTCTTATGAACAATGAAGCGGGTAAAAAAAATGAAAACTTGACTAATGTAGAGAAGAAGATGGTAGAAAAGTAGGGAAGACATTATTTGAATAAAAAAAAGAAAAACCATTTTAGGAAAATATTTAATACACTGAAATATGTAGACTGTAGTAGGTACCAAAAGAATAGGACAAAACCTAGAATATCAGGGCAGATAGCCTAAGACTGAGAAATGTTACTGGCCTATGAAGGGTGAATATTATAAAAGTATATTAAAAAAGGTATTAACTATCTGAATTTCTGGGATGAAAAGTTATTTACATTTAATCTATTATCTTCATCTTGGTTGGTTGTTTTTGTTTAGCGACATAGCAACACCTCTATGGGTTATTTAATGCCAAAATCTAAATATTTTGTATGCAATTTTATTTTTTATTGGAGATAATAATGGTTATAGTAATAAAGTCTTACTAATTAACTTATAGCTTGGAGAGAATAGGTGGAGTTATATCTTTCTCAAGAGTATTTGCCCATAAGTGAATATAATGAACTTAACTAAAATTGGAACTTGGCTCCCTGATTAACATATTCTGAGCCATTATCGATTACACTTCCTGTACCTCTGTGCTTACAGCACCTGGTATTCCCAAGCAGTCACACATCTCAGTACTGACCATGTTCGACATTGCTTAACTTTGGTGATCGTATGGGAACTGGTGTTTCAATAATGATGTGGCAGTATACCTACATTATTGTTGTTGTTATCAAAACAGAGTGAGCAATAACTGAATAGTAGTAAATAATAACAACATGAGATATTCCTAGATATGGAAAGTGGAACAAGTACAATCTAACCCCATAGATTAGATATGAAGAACTACACAAAGCTGCAGAATAAAAAAAAAAAAAAAAAAAAAAACTAGCAATCATCACCTGAAAACATCAGTCACTTCAACGATGCTTGCACTGCACTTAGAAATGCCTATGAAGTGGAACAAACTGAGTGTCTGCAGAATACGAATAACAACGTTGTAACTGCTGTTACCAAAAAGCAATCCATTGTTGCCTGGAAAACTATCAACAAAATAAGTGGTAGAAAAAGCAAGAGAAACACTGGCAACAAGCCACCCCAGATTTCCTATCTTTACAGAAGAGCTTAAGATCAAGAAGAGAATATTCAAAATAGATGAACTAAAAAGTTGTAAGCAGCACCTAAAATGGGAAAGCCTGTGTGAGATAACAGCTGAAGTATGGTAGCTAGATAAATATTCTAGTAGAACTTTGCAACAGCACTTACAACCAAAACCCTATAAACAGATGAACCGAGAGGTGCCCGTTTCCGTTTCCTAAGAATGGCAAACTTGGAATCACAAAGAACTATAATGGTATCTCATTAACAGCTATTGCAGCAAAAATCTACAACCTGATGTTACTGAACAGAATAAGACCTGAAATTGAACCAATACTGAGGAAAACCAAAATGGCTTCTGCACCAACAGATCAACATCAGGACAGATTCTTACCATTCAACAAATTTTAGAAAGCATAAAATTCAAAAACCTTACAGCCACCTTCCTGTCTGTTGACTTCTCAGAAGCATTTGACTTCATTCATTATGGGAAGATGAAAGAAATACTATTTGCATATAGGATACCTAAGGAAACTGTAGATGCCATCATGATGCTGTATCAAGACACGCGTTCTATGGTATGCTCACCTGATGGAAACAGTTTTTATTATATTACTGCAGGAGTTCTTCAGAGACACACTTGTGCATTTTCTCTTCATCATCAGTCTTGACTATGTGCTAAGAAAAGTCCTAGATAAGAACTTGCAGCTTGGCTTCACTCTCCTTGAACGAAAAAGCAGATGCTATCCAGCTGAGATCACTGATGCTGATTATGCTGAAGACCTAGTGATACTGGTTGACCATCTAAAAGATTCAATGTCAATTCTTCACAATATCAAAAATGTAACCCAGGAGATTGGACTGTATGTCAGTGCGGGTAAGAGTTTATCTACCTGAATCAAAATACATCAACAAGCATGAAAAATCTGAATGGAGAAAGCATCAAGCAAGTAGATGACTTCAAATACCTGAGTAGCTATATTGCCTCCACTGAGAATGGTGTCAATATCAGCCTGGGGAGTGCTTAATGAAATTAACAAAATCTGGAAATCAAATCTGCCAGACAAAATGAAGAGAAACTTTTACAGAGCTACACTAAACGAGTACAATGATTTTAATCCTTGGGTCGGGCAGTGTGTACTTGCATTCACTGGAAATGGGATAGCAATAACTAGAAAATACTAAATAAAAATAAGAACTATGACATACCTAGACATAGAGAATGGAACGAGAACAGTCTACTCACGTAGATTAAATAAAGGGTTCAGTTCAGAATTCCCTGTAAGTTACCCAGATTGATATACACCTGAGGAAGGCAAGAGAGTATAACGGCTGAAATGTTGTGATAACAACAAAGATGAAGACAATTGTTCGAATATAAATAATGTAAAAACTTTGCTCTGTTACACTTTTTTTTTTTTTTTACAGTTAAAACATTTCTGACTTCCTTCTAGGCAGCTTCAATTGAGTGGTTAAGGCACCTGACTAAATAACCAGGCTCTTTGTTTGGGGCCATTTCATTGGATATAGTTTTCTTTGCTTGAAAACTGAGCAGTTATTTATACGCTGTCATTTTTTTTTGACATATTAGCAATGTATATATCAGTTTTCTGATTAAAAGAAAGTTTGCCTAAAGTGAAAGTGTTTAATACTATACATTCAATGGGGTGCTGAAAAATTGTCTCATCAAAACCCATGTTTAGTCAGATTCTAGGAAAGTGTGTCAAGAACTTTTCAACACCCTTCATACACAGCTAAAAACATTTTCATGTACAGTTCTTAAATTTTGTGTGCTTAATTACTGGGTTTTGGGGAAGGGATTCACTTAATTTTGTTTTGTTCATCATGGGGGAAAGAGTTTCTTCAGTAGCATGCAATTATCTTTTTCAGTAAGAATAAATAATGTTTTGGGCAAGATTTTCTTAATATTTGTGGGCTTTGAAAAAGCAATTTACAGAATCAATTTTCAACTAAATTTTATCTTTTTTTTTTTTTTTTTCTTCTAATATTTCTGTTTTGGAAATTTACCAAGAACAAATACTGTTTTATTTTATGCTACTAATTACTATTACAAAGTTAGTGTACATGACTAATGTTGCTGGAAATAATCTTGATGTAGGTGAATAATGACAATAACAAATATATTGTGAAATAGACAATTCTTTGTTATCCATTTTCTTTTATGATGGTATTAGAAGTGAAGCTACTTTATATATATATATATATATATATATATATATATATATATATATATATATATATATACACACACAAGTTGAATGTAACTAGACTCTCTTACCAGGTCAACTGAGTAGTAAGGAATAATTCTACTTTCATAAGCAATTGTGACCTAGTCCTCTTCCCTGGCACAGGTGTGTGTGTGTGTATATATTTCCATGAATAGGTAATATAGAAAGGTATTGTTCTTTTACTGAATTTATATAATATTGAAACCATGTTGTCGCTACAAACCAAATATATTCAAAAGGAGTAGGAGTTTGTAAAAATGAGAAAGTTAGCGAGTATTTTGTTCAATTAATGTATGCAGGAGTTGAATTTCAAGACTTTTTTTTTTTTTTTTTTAATTACAAATCACTAAACAAGAAGTGATATACAAGAGAAATATTTATCCCCAAATTCAAACATTTTATGTACAAGTGTATGAGTACGCATTAGTTTAGTGAAAGAAAAAGAAATGTTTAAAAAAAGAATAATTACATAAAATAAAAAGGAGAGTGATAAGCAAAGATTCAACATGAATTTTGAAATCATTTGTTTTTAGCTGCCCCATTGACATAATGAAATTCTACTTGTTTAGCCAGATAAAAAAAAAAAAAAAAGATATGATGAGAAAAAAGAAGGGGTGCTTATCATCTGTTAATTAAAGACATTAACAAAAACATTTTTTCTAAGACATCAAGTAATATTTTAGGCTAAGGACAAAGTGCACAATTGCCCAAGGCAGAAATGTCTGTTTTTAAACTTATGCAAATTTATAGGTCAGGTCAGAGGTCATTTCATCAATATTCAATAATAGGTCAAGTTAGGAATTGTTCTTTGCTGTACAGCCTGTCACACGTTACTTGGAGGGGGAATGGGTACCACCAAGTTAAATCCATTAACCTCAAAGATGCCATGAAAGGGCACAGGACCTGACAATTTAAGAGGTCATGGGAAATGTCCATGTTCAAGCAGACTTAATAGGACTTTATTGATTGCTCAGATTTTAAATCTTTAATAACAATCACCTCAATAATGTTCAAATTTCTTCAGCTGTATAGAAGTTACAATAGTTCTGTGTTACTGACTTGCTTGAATGTAATTTCAAACTACAAGGGACGAGTTAGACTTTCATAAAATTCATTACAAAAGTGTCTAAAAAAAAAAAAAAAAAAAAAAAATTAAAGAATTTTTTTTTGGTTTTATTAATTTTCTAAATCCTACACTACATACAAATTTTATTAACTTGTGCAATAATACATTTTTTCAGAAAAATGCAGGCTTAAATTTTTTATGCAATGTTGATATTCAAATTTTGAATATCAATTTCTTCTCAATTTTTTTAATAAATGATGCAACTGTTAATACATAATTCTTCTAAATCTACAAATTATAATTTGAATGTAATTTGATTTTAATCTCATCAGTATATAATCTGCACAATATTTCAATAAATTTGATTTTTGTTGTTAAAGGGTTGTTTCAGGAAAACAGTGAAATAAAATAATTTGTCCTTTCCAATTGAGTAACAATATGGGAATAAAATTTAAAGCTTGACAATTAAAGAAGTCTTAGGGTTTTCTTTGTCAACTATTTCATCTTTGAGAAACTATCTTTTTAGTTGTTTCTGGATTTATTTACTTTGTATCTGTGAAAGATAAATTAAAATACTAGTAACGATTTATTTATCATATACAACAATTCTACAAGCAATATACAAGATGGTGCTGAAAAGTTCTTGAGCTAACCCAATTTCAAAAATCAAAGCACATGACCAAGCATCACATTTTGGGGAAGCCCATCTTGGTTGGGCTGAGAACTTTTCAGCATTTCTCATACATTGCTGCAGAATGGTAAACTGTATTTAATCTTAAAAGTTAACTTTTTAAAAAAATTGTTTCCATGAGAAATCATATGATAATAGAAAATTCAACAGTACTTTAAATATCAGTTCATGACATGAAGGCAGAAATTCTAGTTTTGTAATTTTGAGAAGAATTATTTCAAGAGTTGTTGTGACTACTGAGCTGCTTTTTTTTTTTTTTTTTTTGTTGTCATGGCATTGCTGGAAATAAGCCAATCTGATATTCGTAACCATTTCTTTTCTATTTGCTATCATTTTTTCTTTATATGAAAAGAAATGGTTTCCTTCTGAATTTTATCCCTGATGAGGGTTGTAGAATGAATCAACTAAAAAATTGTGGTTACAACAAAAACCTTTGTTTAATAGTCTGAACAACTCTTGGAACAAAATCTTTAAGCTTGAAATAGAGAGAGCTATCACAAATTGGCTTTGAATAATGAAGTATTCTCTGTAAACATGCAGCATTAAGCAACCAGAATGGCAAAGGAATATCATAAAATGTATCAGACAATAGTTCAATGCATTA